AGTGGTATGCGATGCCGGTGCGTAGGCCGCTCCAAATCAGTTCATAAGAGATTGCGATACAACGGTACAGTCGGCTGTGTTCTATGCAAATACCGATACACTTTACACCTCTGGCACACACGGGCTGGGGGGACGCGGGACTGGGAATCCGTTGCCTTCACCCTTTACGCCCGAGAGAGAGAGAGAGAGAGAGAGAGAGAGAGAGAGAGAGAGAGAGAGAGCCAGCCCGTAGGCCATCGTTAAGAAGACTGTCCTCGGGTCTGCCTTTGCCTTTATCTTGCCAGTGCGTCTCGACGTCTCGCTCCCTTCCCTTCCCTTGTCCCTCCCTCCCCTCCCCTCCCTCCCTCCCTCCCTCCCCTGGCGGACGTACCGTGTGGGTAGGCAGACCCGGCGCGCGCGCGTGTCCTGCGGGACTGCCTACCCTCCGCGTGGCAGGCGCTCCCCCTCCCTCCCCCTTCCTCGTGCCGTGCGCGCCGTGCCGTCGTGTGGTGCCACCGAGCGCCAAGCTTTCGCCGCCGGCCGGCCAGCAGAAACCCGGGCGGTGGCGGCGGCGGGATGACGGAGAAAGGCGCGGTTGTAACTCTTGCGACGCGCTGCTGGTGCACGTGCACGCCGAGTGCCTGAAGGAGCCCCGAGCACGCCCGCTTGCACGTGCGCGATGTACGCCTGTAGGATCCTCGCGGTCTCTTGCACGTGCGCGATGTACGCCTGGAGGATCCTCGCGGTCTCTTGCACGTGCGCGATGTGCGCGCGCCCCGTGTGGCCTGGCCTGTCCCGGGTCCTACAAAGGATGGCTCTGCAAACGGAGTCAAGGTGGTGGTGCCCTCTGGGCTGCTGGTGAAGGGACAGCAGAGTGCACGGCGCTGCTGCTGCTGCTTGCGCAACGGCAGCCAGCAGCAGGGCAAGCAGGCCCTGCAGGCTGTGCTCTGTCTTATCTATCGCGCTGCTCTTTTGCCCTTTCTCTTTTCTCCCTCTCTCTCTCTCTCTCTCTCTCTCTCTCTCTCTCTCTTTCTCTGTTCCTCTCCTCGAGCGCGCGCTGTACGTACCGCTCTCTCTTGCTCTCCCACACGGCGCCTTGTCTCCCGGTTGCCTATACGGCCGCCGAGGGCTCTCACCCTTTTTGAAGCGTGCCCGCCACGCGCTCCCCCGCCCCCCGCAGCAGCGCCGGATCCTCTAGCGCAGCTTGCAAATGGCAGAGGTTGGCTGCTCCACCCGCCCGCCCGCTGCCGACGCGGCAGCTCGTCCCCCTTCCCCCCGCCCGCGAGTTTGGCTTTCTCCCTTTTCCTTTCTGCCGGCCGTGCGGCGGTGGCGCGGCGTAGCGGGGCGCGGCGGCGGCGCAGGGCCTCTGTCCCGGCCGGAGCCCTATTGAAAGAGGCTGCTGTCCTTCATGGGATGAGCTCCTTCTGTTGTCCTGTCCGCCCGCCAGGCCCGGCCCATGGGCCAGGCCCGAGGCGGCCGCACTGACCTTGCTCCGTCAGTGAGACGTGACGGGGCGGCCGCCCGGCCCGGCCCGGCCGTACTCCGTACTGGCTGTACTGGGTTTCCCTCCGGCTGCATTTCCACCTCCCCCTTTCCTTTACTGTTCAGACTACTCCGAGCGCACTCCCGTGTTGCAGCGACTGTATCAAACTCTCGTGTGAGCCTCTCTCTTGCTTTGCGGCACCGCGGTGGCCGTGCGTGAGCGGCGTGCTGCGTGCGTTCTTGTTTGGAGGTGATTTGGATGGACTGTACGACGACGGCGACGGGGCAATTTGCCGTCGATGGGATTGTCTGGGGATTGGGATTGGATCCTATTATGTATACTGGAGGAAGACTCCGCGGGAGAAGAGGTTTCCCAGAGGTCTATCCACTGCTCCAGGGCCCTGCCAAGGTGTAGAAAGATCGCAAGACGGTTAAATTTCAAACTTTCAGTGTGGGTGTTTCTTCTTTGTTATTCGAGAGAAAGCGTTCATTTCATTCACGGGGACTCTCAAGTGATTCAGGATCCAGGGGCTGCTCATTCAGGAGGAGGAGCCAGTGGGAAAAGAGGAGGCTGGGTGTATATCTAGAGACAGCCTCAGGGTCATGAAGACCTCTAAAAGGAGACCTTGATGTGGCCTTGACGCGGGGGGGGGCTGGGGCTGGGGCCTCCGATGGGGAGTCCTCGTGCTGGACCGGGGCTGGGCGAGGAGGAGCTTGTTTTGAGCAGTGTGCTGCTGTAGGCCCACACGGCTAACCGCAGGCCGCGTTAGCATCAGGGCGGAGCAGGGCGGAGCAGGGCGGAGCAGGGCGGAGCAGGGCGGAGCAGGGCGGAGCAGGGCGGAGCAGGGCGTTGGAAAGTGCGACCTTGCTTGGGGGTTGTGTTTGGTTGGACGTGGACCGATAAATGATGGGGACGCACAACTGGGAGGACCCCGCCCATTGTGTGTTTGAGAGAGAGAGAGAGAGAGAGAGAGAGAGAGAGAGAGAGAGAGAGCGTGCGCTCCGTGCGACCTGCAGGGCTGCCATGGGCGCACCATGGGCTGCCAGCCTTGACCCGCTGCTGTCCGTCGCGTCCCATCCCGTGGCGCGCCCGCTGCGCGGCACCGCGGTGCGACGCGTCCCCCCATGGCCGGGACAGGTGACAGTGACACCCGATTAGGAAGCCTGCTGGCCTGCGCCATGGGGGCCATGGGCTGTGCGGGGCCGGCCTCTAGCGTGGGCCTATGGGAGTGCCAGAGTGCCATAGGCATGGTCCCCCATGGACTGACACGGTCTTGGCATGAGCCTCGCATAAGATCGCTAATCCCTTTTTCTGCCCACGTCTCGTCGCGACCGCCTTGGCATTGCCGGGCTGAACACCCTCCCCCTGTTTCTAGGTCACTTTTACGAACGCGTTCAATCCTTCCTTTCGCCACCGACCGATGTCCCCCGCGTCGTCTCGCTCAGCAGGCCTATAGATGGGAAGCGAGGCGGAGGCGTTTGATGTAGCGCTTCTCCAGAGCTTCTCCAGCACAGCGCACACGGGGAAAAAACCATGATAAGTCGTCAGAACTGACAAATTGAGTAACTGAAAGATAGCCAATCGACAATCGCTATGGTAATTTAATAATTACTTGTTGAAGTCAAGGGTTAGTTTTTACCATTTAAAACGAAGCTCTCGCTGCAGGATCGAATTTGTTTCCGCTGATTTCTGATGACACAACACCCACTGAGTGTCAGTCAAAACCAAGAAATTGGCGCCTCGTTGTAGCAACTGTTTTCTGCAGCGAATTTCGATAGCTATTGATGGATAGCCTAGGCTGTCCTCTACTTACCTTATTTTGTCAGTTTCGCCGCCTTCTTTTTTTTCGAGTGCTGTGCGGGCGGCGGCGCAGCAGTAAATCTTGGTGTTTGTGTGCGCTGGATATTAAATGGATTGACTCTCCTCCAAAATGGGACGAACTGCGCGTCGCGTTGGGTTGGCGCCTTCTTTCCTTTCCTCCTGGCCGCCCCGCCCACGCGACTGTATGCTATGTGCTGGAGTGAGGCGCGCACACCCCCGCCCCCGCGCCGTGCACTCCGCCCCGCCACTATTCCGGTTCCGACAAATTGATTATATCCATTGTATGGAAATGTTGGCCAAAATGTATACCCGGCGACGTGTCGCGGCTCAGTTCGGTTTCCGTCGTGCGGAACACGGCGCTATCGCTCAGGACATGCGCTGCCATGCGCTGCGTTAAACTCCATGGCGGAGGCACGACCTGAGCTCGGGGAGAGAAAGAGGCAGACAGACAGAGAGAGAGATAGAGAGAGGTGTGTAGCGCTCCTTAGCAGCGTCCCCTGCCTTGTGCGTTTGAAAGGCCGCCGTGTCAGACCAGACCGTTCTGAAGGACCGGCCGAGAGGCGGGCGGGGTGGCGGTCGGCGCGCGCGTTTGCTTTTCGGAGAAAGTGGCCTTTAAAATCCGACCGTTTGGCATATGGACCCTTGAACCCCTGCCTGCCACGCGACGCCTCGCCCCTCCGCCTGCCTTGAGACACGTGAAAGCTGGGGATTATTTTGTGCAGTGTCATAAATACTGGGCGGGCGCGGGCAGAGGCTGTAGTGGGTGGCGGTGAGGGAGATCAACGCGAAGCTCTAAAAAAACCTCGAACGACTTACTTGGAACAACTACATCTAGGCTGTAAGAAACAAAAGTTAGTTCCTGGAACTAACTAAAGTTTAGTTGGCCAATTTTGATCTAAATTTGGTCGCACCAAGAAAACTAATAAGTCAGGCTGACTCAATTATTTCATCACTACGAATTAAATTTTGGTTTGGAGAGTAAATTTCATCGTTTTTGAATTTGGCTCTTCTGGACGGTCGATCTTGTGCACGTTCGCCTAAAGCCCCCCCCCCCCCCCAATTTCCCCCTCACTGGTGGTGTTGAAATACCCGATAGTTTGATAACAGCCGCTACCGTGTGCCGGAAGGCGATCAGTGCGTGGCTTGCATAACGCTCCGTGGCGCCCTGAGATGGGCCCGCCCAGCAGCAGCCTATCCCGCGGGGGCTGCACGCCCCCCCCCCCTCCCCCTCCCTCCCCCGCCTGTGCGTTGCGCTACCTGCGCGGCGGCCAACGCGTTTGCCCTGCCGCGACCGCGATGTGAACGGTCTGACCAGCACAGCTCCGCAGGCTCTGACCTTTTGCCACTACTGTGATTGGATATCACGACAGGTCATTGTTGTTGTTTTCTGTGTCCTTTCTTCCTTCCTTTCTTTTTTTGGGGGGTGGGGGGGGCATTGGTCTAGGATTTGTAGTATTGATAGTATGGTGACCTCAGTTTGTGACGTCTGTTCTTTCTTGTTGCAGTGAGCGCGTCCCACCCACCGCAGCGGCCATGGATTCCACTCACCAGGCCGAACCGCTCCAGGCCAACCTGTAAGTATAGAGGGGCCAAAACTTTTTCTTCAGGGGTTGAGCTTCGAAGTCGGATGTCTGACAACGATTCAGAAGCTCAGCACTTTATCACGGTGACCCCCCATTGGCCCACGGGCCCCGGAACAATATTACCGCAGTACCGCGTGCGGGTAGGTCCGGGTGGGTCTGCATATTGTCTCGGACCATTACCCTTCATGACCTCAACAAAGTAGGCAACCCGCCCACATGCCTGCATGCAGTATAGCGCGCTTTACTATAAAATCGTCTGGGGTTCGTGGGCAAACCAACTGTACTGAAAACATATCAGGTGTAGAAACAGTTTTTAACTTTGGCAAGCACACTAAGCACTGTCGCTCCCCAAGCACACTGTTTAAACAGCGAGCGTGATTTCATGCATGCTGATTAAAAATTGGGCGAAGCACATTCTTTGATTTTTAGTCTGCACACAATGCGTGCAAATGTCCAATACTTGCACACATTACGTAGTCTTTAGTACTCTGCATACTTGACTTGACTTCTCCCTGCATCCCCTGCTTACTGTGTTGTTCGCCTGTTTCGCAGGTATATTCACCGTCATGTGCTACAACGTTCTGTGCGACAAGTTCGCGACCAGGCAGATGTATGGGTACTGCCCCAGCTGGGCTCTGGAGTGGGAGTACCGGAAGAAGAGCATCCTGGACGAGATCAGGCACTACGCCGCCGATATCATTAGCTTGCAGGTCAGTTCCATATTCAGTTCCAGCGAGCACGGGCTATCTCTATCATTTCCATCGATAAAAATCGTTTAGCACGTTCGAAATTTCCCATCTAATTTTAATTTAATTTTCGTTGGTTGTGTAGGAAGTAGAAACGGATCAGTTCTACAAGTTCTTCTTACCCGAACTAAAAAGGGATGGTTATGACGGAATATTTTCACCCAAGTCTCGAGCAAAGACCATGGCGGAAAGTGACAGGAAATTCGTCGACGGGTGCGCAATTTTCTTCAGAATCGCCAAGTATGTGTACTGTTTATTTATTTTCTTTTTCAAAATACCCGCCTTTGGTTGTTCTAATTTCTCATTTTAACCGCTCCGTGTGATATGCAGGTTTACACTAGTGAAGGAACACCTGGTGGAGTTCAACCAGCTAGCAATGGCGAACGCTGAAGGCTCGGACCACATGTTAAACCGAGTGATGCCTAAAGATAACATCGGCCTCGCAGCCCTTCTGAAAACGAAAGAAGCAGCGTGGGAGAACGGTAAGTGTCGGTGCATCCACACAATCACTCATGGGAGACAACGCAAGACAGGGCCACACATAAACATTTTCTCTTCTTTAGTCCCCAAAATGCTCACACTTGCTTTTTTAATTTAAAAAAGTATGTGTCCTATCTATGGTCGACGAGGTCTCGTAACGAGAAGGGAAGTCATTCGTCTTGGGCCTGTGACAGATCTTCTACTGCAACGAGAGATATAGCGTCTGAGCGGATATATGTGCCAGCTATACTCCGCACGGCAAGTTTCTTCTAGCGTGGAGTATCTGCATGCTTTCTTCAGTTCCTATAGGTGGCGGCACCGTCGTGCTTCCCGCGTTGGAGTCGGTCGGAGCCTGTAGGAAATACGTGTTTCGGCTTCTTGTACGTGTCATCATCCCCTCTCCGAACTTCTGTGCAACAAAGTTATTTGCTTTGCTAACTGCTCAAATTGTGCCGAACTGGATGATAAACAGAACTTATTTCTTGGTGGATCGTCGAGCCTGTCAGTCTGTTTGGAGTCTGACCGAGAGCTTAAGTAATAAATATCTACTGTTGTCAAAGATAGTTGCCTTACGGAACCAAACTTTTACAACCCCTTCTGGACATTCCAGTGAGGTGATACTGTCTGTTGATTGAATGGAATGCTAATGTGCTGAATTACGCGAGAAGAAAGTATTCTTGTCATGGCATACCCGAACTTGGAAAACAATCAGTACTGGTCGCAACCTAACCCTGGTCAAGTTAGCTATGACCTCAACTTTAGTGATACGGACTTCTCACAATCAGCGCAACAAGGTCTTGACTTCCAGAGCTTTTCGACACCGAACGACAACTATGGACTGCCGCCTACATCTGCATCAACCTATGGAGGATACAATGAACCGGACTCATTTATGAACCCTGAAACCACCAAGAGTGGCGACGAGTTTGATGATGAGCCTCCACTTATGGAAGAACTTGGCATTGACCCCGATAGAATTATTGCAAAGACTTTAGCTGTTCTTAATCCGTTTCATGGACAAGCTGTCACTGATGACGCTAATTTCCTTCTGCAGGATGCAGACTTGGCTGGCCCTGTTCTGTTTTGTTTGCTACTTGGAGCTTGCCTTCTCCTTTCCGGCGGCAAAGTGCCATTTGGTTATATTTATGGTCTTGCCATGATATCATGTATTGTAATGTATGGTCTCTTAAATTTAATGACTACTAATGTTAGTATTTCCTTATCATCAGTAGCATCAGTTCTTGGATATTGTCTACTACCTGTTGTAGGTCTCTCTGGTCTAGGTATCTTCCTTCCCTTGACAGGAATATTTGGTCTGATTTCAGGGCTTGTCATTGTGTTTTGGTGTGCACTTTCAGCATCTCGTTTGTTTGTAACCATGTCAAGTGATCCTCAACAACGTCCTTTGGTAGCATATCCTTGTTGCCTGCTTTATGGAGTCTTTGCTTTAATTGTGATCTTTTAAGTAGATCGTCGTGCTTACTGTCAAGGTGTCTTTCAATTTTTCTTATTATTTGGTAAAGATTTGAACTATTTATGGTTTCTTCAAAATGAAAAATTTACCTTTGTTTCACCCATTTACAACGGTTACTGCAAAAACACTGTTTTCTTGGTTAAAAATATTTTGAATAAATCTTTTTACACAGAAATGAAATGAAACTTTTCCATACCCTTTTCTTGAAACATACTTGTGAGCATTTTGAGGATTAGTTTTGTCATATTTAAGAAAAACAACATATTTACCTCTAAATGTTAAGAGGAATTTTCATTGTGTACATCCAAAAAATCTCTTGACTAACACACACACTGTTATCAATTCCTACATCACACAAAACAGACTCTATAGTCACCTTACATTGTAAAGAGGCTTGTAAGTTTGTAACACCTTGAAATTCAAATCGTTAGTTCAGTGCTAGTAGTATTTTAAAATGTCTGTTTATAACTTTCAGGTCTTCCAGACCCCCAACAAGTCCATCAACCTCTTCTTGTTTGCACTGCCCATATTCACTGGGATCCTGAGTTCTGTGATGTCAAGTTAGTTCAGACAATGATGTTGTCGAATGAACTGAAAGGCATTTTGGATCAGGCAGCGCATTCCTTCCGCCCTGGACACAAGGCTGATCCGGCTGCCATTCAGCTACTATTATGTGGAGACTTTAACTCTCTACCCGACTCAGGTTTGTGTCAGCAAATTCAAACATGTGCAACATGAATTTCAGAGCAGCGTTTTAACTGGAGTTATTATAAAATTTCAGGTGTAATAGAATTCCTAACATCAGGGAGGGTGTCAGCAGATCATGCAGATTTTAAGGAACTAGGATACAAATCTGTGTTGCAAAAGATATCTGGTTGTGAGAAACCTAATGAGTTCACTCACTCATTTAAACTTGCTTCTGCTTATTCTGAGGACATAATGCCTTTCACTAACTATACGTAAGTCATATTTTTACTTTGATTTCTTATAATGTCGGTCAATAGCATCAATAATCAAAACTTTGGCTCATTCCTTACAGTTTCCATTTCAAGGGCATAATAGATTACATCTTTTATTCCAAACAAAGTATGACCCCACTAGGACTATTAGGTCCCTTAGCTTCTGAGTGGCTTCGTGACAACAAAGTTGTAGGATGTCCACACCCACATGTTCCCTCAGGTATGTTATAAACCTAATTATTATGTCGTAATTCTCAAAAAAATGGATTTTCTTTTCAATGTCTGAATATTTTACAGATCATTTCCCTCTCCTGGTTGAATTAGAAATGGTTCCAACTCTGCCACCATCAAATGGTCTTATACAAAGGCGGTAGCACAATTTTAGCAAAAAGAATCAGTTAATATGTAAGCATTTGGTTCCTCTATGTGTATCAAGATGAATCACAGCATATCAATACGTTCTAGGAACCTATTTGCTGTTGCCATTACATCTCAGCTTTTTCCTTTTTCAATCACTGTAACATAACACCCTGCCATTGATGACCAATACGAACACTCGTACCCGTTTCTGTAGGTGGACTGACTCTAAATGGACTCTTTGTTATCTCTCCAGACACGCAGAAGTCCTCAATTTCCTCTAGTCTTAATGGAATCCTTCGTATCTTATTATGTTTGGGAAATACTTGATTTCTGCTAAATTTGTTTTACAATTACCTTAATTGTGTATCTTTCTTTTACTAAAGTTCCGGTCAGTTTTAAGGATCCTTCTTTAACATGGTTTATAGATTGGTGTTATATTGTAAACTTCAAGTAAATTCACTTCCTTGTTGGAAAATTAAAATCTTCATTTTAGACTTGATGTAACTAATCTGTTGTCGTAATCATATTATAGAAATCTGTAGCACAAGTGCCAAACTTGTAAATGTTGGATTAGCAGTATTTTTGTTCTGTACACCATGTTACGAAGGAAATTTAGATATTTTATAGTTATATTTTATAGGTATTTATTATAACATGACATTTGGTGATAGCAGGACAATGAACATAAGCCCAGTGAGAAAGCCTCTGAAAGTCCTTCTCATCCATGTTACACAAAAAAGTTGTTCTAAATACAAACAATCTCTGTACCTCTCTAAATATGTGATTCCAGTGGTCAAAGTCATGTTAGGTTGTCAGAACAGGCATTTAAGGGATACATTTTCTTTTGGAACTATATGTAGATGTTTTTAATTTAGGTGAGTTCCAGAAAGATACATGAACTTATTTTGTGTGCTTGTTATGCCTCAGTATTAAGGATTTTTCTCATAAATTGTATAAGTGATACAACAACAGAGGTAAAGTAAGGTGGTAGTTGAAGTAAGACTTAAGAATGAAATGAACCTTACATTGTAATTTTATTGTTTGAGATGGCTCTAGTTGTCTTCTTATTCAAATTCTATCTTCATTGCAGTGCATTAAAAGGAAATGATACCCCTTTTTCAATTTTTAAGTCATATTTTTTCACTTATATCTGATCTTATACTTTTGGTGGAAAAGTTCACTTGGCTACCTTTACTTTTTCCATTCCAATCACACCAGTGAAAGTAAACTGTTTCCAAACATTAAAATCATGGGTTTTTATTGAAAACATTGTCAGTTTCTGATGGAAATCTTTTTTGTTGTTTCACTGCAGTGACACAGTGCCACTGTGTACATAGAGAGCCAATTATTACCTCATTAAGTTACAGGATGTTCCTTTTGGTCTGTGCATGCTATTTGATAGTTAACAGATTTCTGACATTTTTTAAAACCCTGAATAATTCTATTACCTCAAAGTATGATTCAGAAAGGAACACCTTGTGTATGTGGAAATGCCAGGCTAACTTTGCTGCCCCAACTTAAAATGATATTTTTGGAATGGATATTTGTGTTCACGGCAACACCTGTGATTGAAAACCTTCTAAACTTATGCTGTCTCGCGAAGTACTTCTAAAAAAATTCTTGAAGCGCAATATATTAGGTGTAAATTAACAGGAGAGCATTATCTTTGAGAGTTTCATAATATTAATTTAGTTCATGCCTGAGAAAATGCCGCTATATGAAATCTTGCACTGATATCAATGGATTAAAATGTTAGAATAAGCAAAATCTATGTACTGTAATGTGTCTTTTGGCAGCAACCCCTTTGTACCTAATTAAAGTATAATGTATTTTATTGTCTTTGTAGTGAAGCAATTTGTATGTCCAAAAATAATTTCCTGTCCATTTCAGACTAAATTAAGAAACACAAGGATGTGAATGTTTTTCTGATGAGTAGGTTAGTCATATTAGATTTGTAGAAGCATACTCCAAGTGGCAATATTCAGATTACTCCTGTTATATTAAAGTACTTTACCTTGAAAAGCAATCTTCTGTAGCACTTGCTTAGGTATAGATGTAGCTTCACCTCAGTAAGTAGGAACCCTAAAACAAACCTAGAATTAAAGTTGGAGATAGAATGCCAAGCAATCTGCCTTCAATATTTCGGCATGATATACAAATGAATTTTGCTGCCCAATTTTTTCATCATGTCCAGAGATGTTCATGTACATGTTTGTGCATATTGCACAGCTCTCATGTTTATCACTGAAACTTGACTAGTGGTCCTCAATCAGTGACTGCATTTTATTTAATTTGTTATCTACTGTATTTCTATTACGATGTATTACTTTTATTATGTATTTGCATTCACTGTGGTTTTCACTGAAGGAACACAACATTTACTTGTTCTATTTTTGTATCTTATTCTGATAAAATTATACCCCGGTCATTCATTGATACCTTTGCGTTGTACTGGATTGGAATAGGCTGTTGTTTTTTTTTTCATCTTTTACCAGTTGTCACAATTTCCTCCCGAAGTGACATGTTTTAAACTTCTATCTTTTAGTTCTAAGTCTAAAGCATCTTTCAAACATATTACAAAAGGCAATATTTTTTGTAAAAAATCACCATCAATTTTCTTGTGCGCAATAAATGTATTTATATTTGGAGCTTTTGCACCATGTATGTTCGGTTTTACAAAGTCATAATAAGAAGACTTTTTCATATGAAGTGTTTACCTTTTGGATTCATTTACATTGTCTAGTTTTTTTGTTTTGTTTTTTGCATCTATTGGAACTTTTTGTTGACCGCTGGTAGCCAAGAGTCATGGTTGAAGAATGATTTTGTTTCTAAGAATGCATTTACATCTTCAAAAATTTCTTAAATAATGTCAATCTTGGTACATCTCCTCATATCTTGGCATAGAAAACAACTTAAGTGTTAATCTGTCATTACTTTCGTTTTGTGGCTTTACATGTCAAAATTTAACACTTTGAACAGCAAAGTGCCTCTGCTCCCAGTACTTTGGTTTCTTTTATCCACTTTTCAGAAATATTTTCAGTCTTGAAGTGCTGGAGATATTTGAAACATTTAGTTCTTGAACCTGAAGAGTCCTCATCAATGTGTTAAGTAGCTTGTTGATTGGTTTGTTCAACTGATTGTGATATGGCTAAGCATAATTTAGTTTGCTACATTTGCTTCATATAGTAAGACCTGTTAAAGGATATATGTCTGCGAGATTGACTTAGTTCCTCTGATTTGTTAACTTAATTTATAAACCGTCTGACATGCATCAAATTTGTTGAGAACTATAGATAACAAGGACACTAGTATTAGAATTAGATAAAATTATTGGATCAGAAACCTACAAGATATATTCTTGAATAAAGTAACATATGTTACTTTTTTTTCTTTTGCAAAAATCTTCCCACTTTTATTTTTATGGTTTTTGTTGCTTACTCTGATGCTTTGACAAATGTTGAAAAATCCATCGTAAAAATGAAATAGAAACGACTTGAAGATTTTTAATCATCATACTGACCAAATCTTATGATAACTTAAAAGTACAAATTAAAATTTGGGACGACTGTATTTGTATGCTGTGAAGATGGTCTTCTAGTTTTAGGTTCTTACTGTGTGGATGAGAGAAGCATCAGAGGGTGATATAACAAGACAAGCCATCAACAATAATTAAACTTGTGACAGTCTCAGGAAAATGTTATTAACTTTCATGAATCTTTTGCAATGTATTTGTTAACCATTAATTGTTACAACTTACCTTGGCTACTCCCACTTACTGTATCAACTTTGCTACATTATTTGTGGAAGTAGTGTACTTATAAAATGGTAGAGGTGCCTAATAAGAGCATATAGTATCGAGTGTTTGGTTTGTTAGATAATGAATTTGTTTTGTCCTGGCTCACTTCAACTCATTATTTGGAACTGTTTTGAACTTAGTTTTCTTGTACGATAAAATTATTATTAAAAAGCCATAACTTTACTCACTGTTAATTTAATTGTGAGACTGCTATACTAAGGATAATGTAGGGCACCGTGCCTCACGTTACTTAATGAAGAGCACTAGTGCCTCACATAAGATGAAGCGTTGGGTGCTTTACTTAGCTAATGTGCACTGGGTGCTCTACATTAGCTAATGTGAGGCACTGTGCCCTACATGGCCATGGCCCACCTAATGCATAGCAGTCTTACACTTGAGCTAATATGGGATTGTTACATAAAATTTGCTGTACCTCGTTTGTCCTTGGACAGACAAATTACCTTCTGTAATTCAGAGACCATTGTTTCCTTAAGCATTCTGTTCAGGAAAAGCATTTTAGGTGTTTGCTTTTGTTTGCTATCCAATGTGCGTTGTTGAGATCTACAGGGCTGGGAGATAAATCACAAACTTGCAACAACTGAGTATAATGAAGAGGCTTTATAGTACAAGTTCAAATATAAGCATCCTTTTATTAATATAAATATATATCTATTTATAAATTTAATAAATACTATTCACATTATGATCATTGAACTGAAAATAGCGGATCAAAGTCTTCTTCATACCAAATTTTAGGAATCCAGCTATACATTAAAATGAAATTGAAGTGTTATACATAGCGTGTGATCCCTGTTGGCAGGGAACAGTTGGTGGGTTGTATGTGACTTATCATGCATATATTGTGTGATTTTACTAAAGCATAGTCGAGAACCATTTCGTAGAGGTGAACGTTGTTTAAATTTGCTTTGATCTCACAGGCTGGAACAATTGCTGCGTAACCTTAAATATCTGTGTGTAGTCGTAAGAACTTTTAATTGTTTTATTTGAATGAGGATCTGAAAAAATTACAGTGTTTTGTTACCTTCATTCTTTCAAACTATCAAAAATGAAATAAAGAGCATAAACAAATATATTTCTTGATTCCTTTTTCCTTTTTTTCAAATTCTTCTAATGATGAGTAGCACTGCTACCATGGAGGACTTGTGTGCTGGGAGAGAAGCTAAGTATTGTTCTAAAGAAAATATTTCCTGATTTTTACTTTATCTGTTTAATGTGGACTCATAAAATTACATATACATTTTATATATCTGGTAACTAGCTCCAATGAAGACTGTCAATTGTTCACATTCTCATTTAACTACAGCATAGTCCTGCTTATAAGCATTAGCATTACAAACAGAAGACACTCTATGCAATAGAGACATCTCTGTACAAATTGCAAGGATATGACTCAATGTGACTTAAATTACATTATTATGATTTCTTTGGTGATATTTTTTTTAACATGAAACTGCTTGCTTAAGAGTTACAGTTGAATATAATGATGCTTCCACATGAATAAAAGTTTTGTTTATTTGTAAAAAATATTGAGTTTGGGCACGGAACTATAACAGCAGTAAGACAATAGATTACTTGAATGAAAGGACATTAAAATCTGTACAAGGTAAGTAAAAATATTAATCTAATTGCAAAGCAACTGGTATCAAAATAGATTGTCATAATCTCTTGCCACAAATCTGCATTTTAGACACAATGAAATCACAGGTTTTATTTCTCAGACAGCTAAAATTATATTCCAGCTGAGGCACCTCCTACAAATACTGTTCGTACAAACATTGACTATGTATGATCAAATCTCGATTATAAACAAAGAGAAATAAAGTATAGGTCACATACTGTGGATGTATCCTATTTTGCTGCATCTACATTAAATCTATGGCACGTTTCCTACAGAAAGTATTGTGATGCTTCCCCAAAACCCAGTCACTTGTTATCACATGTTGCATCACATAATAAGTGCTAAAGCTGCTATGTGAGTTTAGTGATCTACTAATCCCATTTCTCTAAAACCCCAAAAAAAGAAAAATACACATAGAGGATATAAAAGGCAAAATGCCAAATGGTAACAATGTTTGTTTCAATTCAATTAAAAACCCGGTCACACATCCTAGTTAAGAAAACGGATAGACATTTTTTGTTCCACATCTGTTCTCTCCAAAGCTTTGCAAAATTCTTCAAATGAAATCATCTGATCTCCATTTTGATCTGCCTCCATAATTGTTCTCTCTGCAATGCTGGTAAGCTGCTCTTCACTTTTAAACAAAAACAGGAAAAATATGTGATTATTACATGTCAGAGAATCAAAAAGTGTACATTTACTCTTCTATTTAATGTATACCTGATATTTGCTCCCACCATCATATGTAGAATTGCTAGTAGCTCGTCTCTTGAAACCTTGTCATCATTGTCCAAGTCATACATTTTAAATGCAACTGTAAAAGTTAGAAAAAAAGACATGGAGAAAATAAACACTGCTCTTACAATTTAATCTGTTAAGGCAATGGAGACTTCATACACTTACATTGCAACTTTTGTTCTCGGGAATTTAGTTTATTGTCTTTGTTCTTCTTGATAGGGCGGAAACGTGCCAAAACTTGCATAAACTGTCTGAAGTTTACACGGTCTGCTCCATCCTCAAAGAACGCATGCACAATTCGATCTCCAAGGGGATTTATAGCAAGTTCAGGGATGCGAAGAAAATCTTCCCTGCTTAAAGTACCACAATCTCCACGATCCAGACTAGTGAATCGACTGTACAACCTTTCAATCTGATTGGGTGTAACTGTGAACAAAGAAAAGCAATGTAACAAGTGTTAAAAACTTAAGACCTACGAACAGAAAAGAGAATTTTATTAAAAACTTAAAACCAGTGTAGAAAATAGGGCGTGGACTGTTGAAGAACATCTAATATAAGCAAGTTTTCAAGAGGCACAAATAGTATATAATTTTATTTCAAGAAACTTTGAAAAGTAAAGCAGAAAATTTGCTCTAGAAGAACCGATAGTGCAGAAATATGAGAAAAAAGCTTTCAAACTAGTATTTTGTAAATGATTAAAAACCACTAGTTTTGAAAAAGTTATCAGTATAACCTATGTACTTACAGCCTGTTTCTTCCTGAATTTGAGCAATCTCTTCGTCACGAAGAAGTAGTGATGATCGATTACCCATTGCAATGTGCCAAATGATTAAAATACTTGAAGGCAAGGAGTCGACACAAAATAACAACTTTGTTGTCAAGACTTCCCTGTATTTGTCACCTAGCGCAGCCTTGACAAAGATGTGCTCATCCAGCAGCTGACGATGACGTTTTATCTCGAACCCCGAGGATCGAAAACATCGAGAACTGTGGAAGCAATCGAATTGCAAGAACGCGCGCTAAAGTTCAAACCTTTAAACCTTCAAACCGTTATGACGTTCAAACCAAGGAAGAGGACGAGACTTGAGAAAGGCGAGAGCAACAATAAAAATTTATTAAAATTGTTGAAGCAGAAAAGTTTTCGCATTTAAAATGGAATAAATGGGCAGGCTAGCGCTTGCTGGCGGGCTTTTCGGCTTTTCTACCGCCGATCCGTCGTTCACCGCCGTGGCGTATTGGGGCGCCTAGCAAGTAGGCAACCCAGCTACACGCGTGAATACGGTACAGTATAAGCAAGAAAACGGACGGGGTCTTTGCGACACTGTGTATCCAACACACAGTAAACCACAGGCTGTTGCGAGAAATGAATGGAAAAATACCTTATGCATGAACATTTTTTGCCCGTTGTTCATCGACAAATTTTTCTCCCTTGATCGTGATGAAGCCAATTTCCCCC